GAGAGGTGGTGGGTGCTTTGGGAGGAACGGTTGGAGAAAGGGCTGGAGGGAGGCAGCATGTCTGGCCTTGCAGTAATAGGCCTTGGGTTACTGCTGGTAATCCTGTCTTCCTCTTGTGGGATTAGAGGAGGTCAGAACATGTGGCCTCCTTGCCGTTTTTGCAGCCCCTAATCCAAAAGCACTTGTAAACTATTTTTTTAAAATATTGTAACTCTGTGATTTAATACAATGCTTGAGTTAGGTAGAGATAAATTTTATAATAAAAGTAAGCTGGTTACTTGCCCTCTTTTTCATATTATGTTTTACAGTTTTTTGGAGAACGATTTAAAGCATTTAGATTCATTATAAAAGATCAGTAATCTTGGATCATACAAAGGATAAACTAAACCTGAAAAAAATATAAGTGTTAGAGGCTAGAAGACCACTGGAAATTAAGGGGAGAAACTCAGAGGCAAGGGGATTGTAGAGAGTTAGCCCCTAACACTGAGTATAAAGTCCACCCAAATCCTTATTAGATCTCTCAAGGAGAGACCTTGTGAGGGTTTAAGCTAAAACATTTCCCTCAAAAAAAGAGCAGCTAGAAACCAACAGAGAAATTAAAATGAAATACTGAAAAATATTTGATTAACCCAACAAGAATGCAGGAAAAGACAAACATGGAAAAAAGAGGAAAACATGGGGGAAAGAGAGAATCAAAAACAAAACTAAACTAAAACAAGATGGTAAACCTAACTATATCAATAACTACATTAAATGTAAATAGACTATCCTAACATCAAAAGACAGGGATTATCATATTACATAAAAAGCTAGATCCAACTATATGCTGTCAACAAGAGATAGATTTTAAACACAAAGACACAAGCAGTTAAGAGAAGTATCATGCAAAATCTAAGAAAGCTTGCTGTTGTTGTTGTTAGGTGCCACGGAGAGTTGGCTCTGACTCCCAGCAACCCCACATAAACAGAACGAACTCGGCCCAACTCTAAGTCATTCCTCACAAGTGCTGCTATGTTTGACCCCACTGTTGCAGCCACCGTGTCAATACGTCTCCTTGAGGGTCTCTCTCCTGTTTGCTAATCTTCTGCTTTACCAAGCATGATGTCCTCCTGCTCCAGGGACTGGTCCCTCCTGAGGACATGATCAAAGTCCGAGAGATGAAGGAGCTTGTAAGGAGCATTCTGGCTGTACTTCTTTCAAGACAGATTTGTTTGTCCTCCTGGCAGTGTCCATGGTATATTCAATATTCTTCACTAACACCATAATTCAAATGCATCAATTCTTCTTTGGTCTTCCTTATTCATTGTCCAGCTCTCACATGTATGGTGACGGAAAATATCATGGTCAGGCACACCTTAGTCTTCAAAGTGACATCTTTGTTGTTTAATGCTTTAAAAAAAAAGTCTCTAAAGAAAGCTTGAGTGGCTAAATTAATGTCAGACAAAAACAGACTTTAAGAAAAAGAGAGTATTTTATAATAACAAAAGGGTCAACATTCAACATATCAGGAAGATATAACAATTATAAATGCATATATGCCTAAAAAGGCTGCCAAATACATGAAGCAAAAATAGACAGAAAAGGAGAAATGGACAAATCTACATTCAGAGTTAGAGACTTTAATACACTTCTCATAGCTGTTGGCAATTAGACAATTTAAAAAAAAATCAGTAAAGCCATATAAGATCAGAACCACAATATCAAACACTTTAACCAAAATGAAATTTATAGATCACTGCCCCCGGAACAGCAAACACACGTTCTTTTCTAATGAAACTATAGCATCCATCAAGACAAACTAGATCCTGGGAGGTAAAACAAATCTCAGAAGATTTCCAAAGAATAAAATATTAAAGAATATGTTATCTGATCGGAGTGGAATTAAACTAAATATACATATCTATATATCTAGAAAAGACCTCATTATATGGAAATCAAACACACTCTAAACCCATCTGTCAAACAAATCACTCAGGAAATCAGAAACTATTTTAAACTAAATAATAATGAAAGCATATGACTTCAAAATTTGTAGCACATGGTTAAGCAATACACGGAGACATATTTAAAAGCAAGAAAAGTCTAAAATTGATGATCTAAGATTCCATTTCAAGAAGCTATAAA